TTCTCTTTCTCTCTAACAAATAAATACATGAAATCTTAAAAAAAAAGAAATCCTTTTCATCCCGAGCTGGGTCCCTTTGTCCTGGTTACATAAGGCTGCTCTACGGCCTCAGCCCTCGACCAGCGCCTGGCCACCTGGGCCCAGTTTACGCCTCTACCTGTAGTGGCCCCTTTTCGCCACTCAGCCATTTACTGTCATGTGTGGCTCTGCTGCTGCCTCCGGGGTTGCCAAGTATACTGACCCCCTTCTTGTACTCCAAGTGGAAGTCCTTCAGGCCGCTGCTCACGCTTGCTTGGCAGTGTCCTGCTCTCTCTCTCCCTCTCCTCCACAGACTTCAAGGGGTGTGTCCTCCTCTCCCTCCCGGAAACCACGCGCACGTGGAGCCTGCCTCGCCCAAGTACTCCAGGCCTGCTTCTGCTGTCCTAGGCCCGTAACAGAAACGGAGGCTGCAGCATCTGCTGGCTTTTCCCGGTTGGGACTCCCACTGATGATGGTTTAGTTATCGTTCAATGTGGAGGAGGCAGATGAAGTGCTCTGTGATGTCCGTAGGTACTTCGTTGTCGTGATCCGTAAGGACTGAGGCTCAGCTGGGAGCTGCGAAGGGGACTTGGGTGGAGAGCTGGTAGTGCTGGCCCTGCCTCTGCGGAAGGTGTCTTGCCTGGAAGGGCAGCGCTGATGGGAGGCGCTCTTCCCGTCGCTTTGAAAGTGAACTTGTCTCCTGTACCATGCGACTATGTTCTCTGCTGCGGGACAATAGAGCGGTAACATGATCTGTTCGCTGCACTGGCTTGTGTGTTGATTGCAAGGAGATGGCAAGGTGGCAGGGAGCCCTTCTGGAGTCGACAGGGGAATGGCAAGCAGAACCCAGTGCAGAATTAGGTGCTTTTGCACACCGGCTGAAGAAGCGAGCGCCCCCTGGTATGAAATACTCCTCTTTGCCACTGTCTCCGGGGCTGTTTCATTGACAGCCTTCTCTAGTTGTGTCTGAGCCCATGGTCTCCCTACCTCTGTGATGTGGCACTCCAGGCAAAGATGCCAAGGAGGGCCAGGCTCAGAGCTGGTGTTCAGTGGGGTCTCTCCTTTACCTGTCAGTGGAGACGGTTTTTGCACTTAGAACTTTATACCCACATCTGAAAAGATTAGAGGCAGGATTCTTCTGCACGTATTGAAATTGGTTGTACAGTTGACCCTTGAACAACACAGGCTTGGCCTGCGTGGGGCCATGTACACGGGGTTATTTATTTATTTATTTTTGGTAAATACCGTACAGGGCTATAAATTAAATATATTTTCTCTTCCTTGTGATTTCCTTTTTTTAAAAAATTTATTTATTTATTTAACTCATCTCTGCACCCCCCTGTGGGGCTCAAACTCATGGCCCCAAGATTGAGAGTTGCAAGCCCTACCAACTGAGCCAGACGTGGGCCCCTTTGTGATTTTGTTAATACCATTTTTTTTTTCTGTATCTTACTTTATTTTAAGAATATGATGCATAGTACATGGGGCGCCCGGGTGGCTCAGTAATTAAGCATCTGCCTTTGGCTTGGGTCAGGGTTCCAGGGTCCTGGGATTGAGCCCCGCATCTGGCTCCCTGTTCACGGGAAGCCTGCTTCGCCCTCTCCCAATCCCCCTGCTTGTGTTCCTTCTCTCGCTGTCTCTCTCTCTGTCAAATAAATAAATAGGATCTTAAAAAAAAAGGAATATGATGTATAGTATATATAACATACAGAATAAGTGTTAATCAAGGCCAACAGTGGTCTATTAATAGTTAAGTTTTAGGGAGTCAGAAGTTAGAGTTGGATTTTCGCCTGTCCAGGGGTTAGTACCCCTACTGTCTGCTTTGTTCAGGAGTCAACAGTATATTTACATAAGGATCTCAGCCCTGAACCCTGAAATCCAAACTCGTATCTAACTGCCTGTTGGGCATCTCCAGTGTCCTTTGGGCATCTCCAAACCTGTGTCTAAAAACCATGTCCTGATTTCCACTACACCTGATTTCCCTCTGGTTTCCCCCACCTGCCCTTTGCTGCACCGTAGCAGTAACAGCATTCCAGTCTGCCCAGTGAGTCAGGTCACCCATCTTGGAGGACTCCTTGACTCTTTTTTTTTGTTTGTTTCGTTGTTCCCCTTATTCCATCAACAGAACCTCTTTGTTCTGTCTTCTAAGTTGGCCCCAAACCTGCTCACTTGTCACTGGCACGGCTGCTAGCAGCTCAGTGTGTCCCTTCCCGACTCAGGCCAGAGTCTCCTGGCTGGCCAACCCCTGCTCCCGCCCAGTGCCCCAGGAGTCTGGTCTCAGCCCAGCAGTTGATGGGGGCTCTGGGGTCTGGCAGCCCTCCCTCTGCAACTCTTCCTCATGGGCCTTTGTGCTTGCTCTGTTGAAACTCCCCCTTGGGGGCCACACATCTGTCCCCCACTCCATTCAGTCCTCACTCTGGTGACCCTCCTCAGGTGGCTGTCCCTGACCTTGGGCCCTGCCCGGACCCTGCCCCAGTTTTCTCCATCTGTTCACATTCTGGTTGTTACTCCCCACCCCCACCCCTGAAAAGTAAGTGTGGCGGGGGTGGGGGGGGTGGGCGTGTCGCTTTGCCTCTTGTTCTCAGGAGGTGCCCAGCAGCAGCCTGGGGACCATGGTACATGTGCAGGTGAACTTGGGTGGGGGAGGGCAGGTCATCGGGGGACATGGTGCCGCTGGGGTGAGCCGTGAGCCGTACTCCTTCCCAGGTGGAGCTACTTCTGGGTGCTGGGTGTCTCCCCCTCAGTTACCGTGGGTCAGGTCAGACCTCAGTGCAAACAGAACGTCCTGCCAGAAGGGCTGAAGTACAGCCACGGAAGGGAAAGAGGTGTGGAGAGGCTGGCACATCTCAGGTGACCTCATTGCCATCACCCCTCCCACTCCTTGCCTCCTTTCTACTCACCTGCATAAAAGCTCTGTGTTACTGTTTCTTCCCAAAGCAAACTATCTGCTAGGAGCTAGGAGAAGCCATTGTTTCCCAGATAGGCTCTTGCCTTCCCTCTCTCCTCCTGCATTTAACTCGCTGGCTAAATAAATTATGGATGAATTGGGTACTATTTCTGTGTTTCAAGAAAATTGCTAAAACTGTAAAAGATCATCAGATTTATTCATTTTAGTAAAATCGTCATAGGTACACGTTTTCTCTTCAGACAGCATGTCTCTATTATAATCTTGCTTTCCCTCAGCTGTTTTCTTCTGTTCTTGGGATCAGGAAAAGTTCAGAATGGAGAAAAATGGTCTGTGAATCTTTTTTTCCATCTTTTCACTGAAGACCAAGTGTTTGACAGTTACCTGGAGGTCTGACTCATCTTCCAGACATCTGACTGTGCTTTTATTCTGGGATTAGGTACATCATCTTGAGTTTTGTTTTCTTGCCTCGGATTTAAAATCCACAAGGATGTGAAAACTCAGTACCTTGTGGAACAGGGCAAAAAAACCCGAATGAGACAAATTCCAAATAGTGGCAAATAGTACAGCGGTTTATTTCTGCTAATGGTTTTTAGCTTGTGTGGTGTATCACTGCATGCCAGCCTTGATTGTGAAGGAGATGGGCAGCTGTGGATGGGGCAGGTTCTTCCCTCCCATCTGGACCATACCTCTGCAGTCCTGCCTGACCCAGGACTGCACATGTCTAGCCCCAGGTTGGGTGGCTTTTCTTGGGGCCAAGCTCCAGTCTTTGCCTCCGCCAGGAACCTGATTTAAATGACACAGACTCATGTACCTCCATCCGGAATACACCGGAAGCAGTTGCAAACAGGACGTTAAAAATAGATGTCTTCCAGTATAATACTAAGGGTGATTTAAAAAATTTTGCCTTTTCTCCTTTTCCATCTTTCTTACAAGGATCATTTTTATAATGAGAAAATTTCCAGTGAACTTGGTTTCCTTAGGGTGTGGAATAAAAGTCAGTTTCTAAAACGTTGTGGAAAACAATTTGATGTGTGTCTTTTTAAGCGTTTTAGAAGCACGGGTGGAGTTGCTATGGGGATGGTAAGGTTTACTCTCTACAGAGAGTGGTTCCATCTGGCACCACATGCTCCCTGAGCCAAGCTGGGCAGTCCTACGCACAGCAGAGTTTCTCATTAGATGTGGAAACAATTACACATAGCATCATGATTCCATCTTTTTTCCCCCTAAATCTCCATTTAGCTCTGATCGAATGGCAGGACGTGATGCCAAACTGCTTTCTACAGCCTCTGACCTCTGTGCCTGTCGTCGCCTCTGAGACGGGTGCATGGCTTACAGTCGGAAGGGGTTCCGTCTTTGCTGGTGGAGCTGGGTTGCTTCCTGAACATGGTGCACAGTGTTGTACCTTGATCATGTGGGGATTCATTTTCTTTTGCGGACGCGCAGACATTTCTTTGACAGGCATTGTTTTCGTTTCCCTTGGCTGCCCCCTCGAAACCATGGCCTCCTTCCCTTCTTGCACTTGTTTAGAACCCATGGGGGTCCCATCTCAATCAGAGATGAGGTTTTGACATTCTGCACGGGGGGCGTGGTGGGGACGTGAAGCATGCAGATCGAGTTCAGTTGTACATTCCATGGAGAATGAAATAAAGTGCTCAAGAAAAGCAGTAGTCTTCTGTCTGTTGGTCTTCCATTATCCTTGGGGGCCTCACGGGGCTGATGTAAGTGGTGGAGAGGCTGGCATGGGGACGGCTGATGGCCAGCTGGTTGTAATTGGTGATATTCTCAGAAGTCTGGTGGGGGCCCTGAGCTAGATGTCTGGGGAACCCCATGTTGTTGCAGCTTTTGGTCTCCTTTTGAGGGTGTGCTCTTAGTCTAGTTCTGGTTCCTTATCTGGGAAATGGGGGGGGGTGGCGATGCTTGCCTTCTCAAAAGGTTATTGTGACCATCCGATAAGATGGTTCAGGTGTCTGCTTCGAAAAGCAGAGAACTGAGTTCTTGAATGGTGCGTTGTCCCCATGTCTTGACCACTTGCGGGGTCGCTGTGTGTCCTGCTGTGTCTGGCCCACTTCCTCTGATGATCTGATAGGACATAGTTCTATCATATCATCATGCGCAGGGGCCATGCTAATCTTCTCTGTATCGTTCCAATTTTAGTATATGTGCTGCCGAAGCGAGCACTATCATATCATCATGGATGGCCTCTTAGTACCTATAACTTCTAGCTTAGGTGCTCATGATGATGGACTGGTAGATGACTGCTGTAGAAGAATGCTGTTTCATTCTTGCCTTGGTGACAAGAGTGATAACTTCACTCAGCCCCGGGATCAGTTGGAACTAGAGTGGTTCTACTTAATGGAAAAAGCAGTTGGAGGACATTCAGGAAACATGGATTCTTATTCCCAGTTCTGTCCCCAAGCAGCATTGTCCCCAGGCAACTCAGTATCTTGTCCTTCAGTGGATGGGATTGCTTGACTGCCCTGGGACAGGCACCATGGACACTCCAGACCTCTGGGCTCAGTTCCCCCACTGAGAACTCCTTCACGTCAGCATTGCTGTCTAGCACTTCTTGTGCATTATTTTATTTTGTTCGTTTAATTCATTTGTGGGCTTGGGTAGTGCTCTGATCATACATGCTGTTAAGATCTTGTCTCCAAATGAGCACCTGGTGTGGAGCCTGGTGGCTCCCTGGGCCCCTGCTGGCTTGCAAGTTCAAGGACTCTGGTTACTTGGGAATCATAGCTCTTGGCCTGATTATAGACGACATGGGCAGTGGTGAGGAGCTGTTCCCATTCTGCCCTTTCCCATTAAGCACGTGCTCTGAAACTCCGCTAAAAACCCCAGCAGCTACTGGGACTCAGAAACTTAATAACAGCACCCAGTATATCTTCCTTTCTTGAGTTGTAGGGTATCCTGTCACTTTGCCCTCCAAGCTCCAAAAGAGATCTAGGAATTCTCTTTGTTAGTTTCCAAGATAGGAACTGGAGACAGAATCCTAAGGACTGGCTGTGATTCATGGTAAAATGTCTTTGTCTTTGCTCTCCAAGCACACTGCTGTCTGGCTTGTGCCCTTTAGGTGTTAGCTCCTGTTGGAGTTCCTCGGCTCACCTGGAAGGATATTGGCATGTCCAGCGCTGTGCAATCTTTTGTTGTTTCTAAATGCCCTCAAAGCCCTTCTGGATGGCACTCAAGCCTTTATTTGGGTTATTCGTTTTCACACCAAAGGAAGACTTCTGTATCTTACCTTGCATGCTGAGTTTCTGTGCTAAGCTGGGAGGGTCCCTGGTTAGTTAGAAGAAAAGGGTGAACAAGAGAGATGTGCCAACACCAAACCAAGAGCCGGCCTGGTGCAGGGAAGGGGATGTGGGCTGTGGAGTCCCACTAACCTGGGTTCCAGTCTCTGCTGAAATGCATACTGGAGGTGTGTTACTTTTTAGGGTTCTGGAGAGACTAAATGAGGCCATGCCTGGGGTGGGGCCAGCACACGGCTGGGACTGGTGGCTGCCTGTGTTCGGAGTGTGGAAAGACACGTTTATAGAGCTGGATTCAGTCTAGCTGTCAGACGGCGTGGCGAAGGCCAGGCTTGCCCACGACCCACACTGGCCCCAGCCCCTGCCCCAGCAGAGCTCATGTGGCGGTTTCTGCACAGAGTTTAGACGATTGCTGGTTGCTGCTTGCTCCTAACTGTGGTTGGATGGGGCATTTGTGCCCTCAGACCCAGCTTGCCCATGGGGGTGCCTGGTGGAAGGGGAGAGGGTCCTGGAAATGTGAATGCAGCTAATCCAATGAGATTAGCCTCCTGAGCTGAGGGATTTGAGAGAACAAAGGGTATTGAAGGAACCACTTAGAAGTTTAAACAGACTCTGTTCTCCCTTTTCACCTACGTCTTGTATAAGGATTTCAATAGCTCCTAAATGAGCTGGCCTGAATGGCAGTAGCGCCCTTTTAAATTCTAATTAGCTGGTGAATTAACTAGTATGAATTTTGATTAGTTGGGATGAATTACAGGTATTAATGATTGTACAGTCTTAGAGCAAATGAAAGTAGCGGTTTACCCAAAGGGGGCTATGGCCAGTCGTCCGGCCAGAGGACTTTAAATAGTCTCAGAAAGACGGTGCTCTCTTTTCACACTGCATTCTTCACCCTTTAAAGCCCGGGACTGGAGCAGCGTGAAGTGGGGAGGAGACTCGGCCCCCTCGCTCTCCTTGGTGGCCCTGGAAGGAGCACAGCCCGCATGGTCTGTAGCTGGCAGGCCTCCAGACGCCCTCTGCAGTGCACCCTGCCACGCGGCTGCACAAGCTTCCTTGCTAGAAAAGACAGCGGCTGTAGCCTTTTCCTCCCAGGGCCGGGCTTGACCTTGTCCTGGAGCTGCAGTGTTCATGTTCGCAGCGGCTGGCACTGCAAGCCCCTCTCCACGACAGTGTCGGGTGTAGGTTGGTCAGGGCAGGGTGGCCGGGGCGGGGGGGGGGGGGGTGGTGGCGCTGCTCCTGTTTGGCCAAGGGAAGGAATTCATAAGTATATCAATATTTCCTTGGCCTTGCCCTGTTTCAGACAGCCTTGCACATGGATACTCATTGCATAGTTACATAGGAGAATGTTTTAAAATACCCAGCACGGGTCCATCTCAGTGACGGTGATGGGTCACATGCGTGTGATCAGGGTGTTCTGGAAAGAGTTGCCAGCTCATTTACAAAAGGCCTCACGTGGTCTAGTGTGCTGAAAGTCCATCTCCTGATGGTCAGGGGCTCTGAACTGCAGGCTTAGTGCCCCTGCCCTCCGCCAGGCTCTCACTCCCTACCCTCTTGTCCTTCCTCTGGTGGCAGATTGTGGCCTAGTCTCGTGCTTTTTGGCTGAGAGACAACTGGCCTTGTTTTATGCAGTCTTGGTCCCCTACTCCTCTATTTTGTGTCCTGTTGGGCACCGTGTATGACACGGTGCTAGTTTACGAGGACCCAAAGACATGTGAATTTCAGCACCAGACCTGGTGCTTCCTGTGTGATTTCCCATCGTTGTGGATTCACGAGTTCAGCTAGGACACTCTTCACAGGGCCCGCCCACCTGGTCTTCAGCAGTTCTAACGTGCATCATTGCTCTTAAAAGAAAAGCTTTGGTGCTCTGAGAGTTGAGATGGGGCAGAGATCCCAGCAAAGCCTTGACTATACTGATTTGAGCATGGTTGGACCATGGGTGTGTCTCAGGGACAAACACTGAAGAAGGAGCAGCATATGAGTTCAGGCCCAAGGCTTTCTTGCCAAAAGGCTGCTGTTTGTGGGCCCTGATGGTTAGCTAGCCTCACCACTTCTCACCCCTCACTGACCAGCCGGCTGTTGCAAAGGTGACTCTCTGTCACGCCCCGCCCTACCCCACCCCGCCACTGGCCAGGCTCGTCTCATGATGGAGCCTTTTGGATGTTGGTTTCATGGGACACTACTAAGCACTTCCAAGCACATCCTACGTCATAATCACTCCTGGTAGAGGCCAAGAATGAAAAGGGTTCATGACTGAGAGACTCTTGTGTACCACAGAGCAGGCTGGCTTTCTGGAGAAGTGGTTGACCACTACCTCCACACCTTCTGCATGAGACAGGATGACAGGGTCATCTGGTATGGTTTATGTTGCCTGTGCTGGTCACCTTCTGCTGTGGGAATAAGGCTCAGATCAGACCCCAGAGTCTAGTTTCATCACATTTGAGAATAGCTCAGACCTATGTCTCCATCAGAGAAAAGATCCCATAGGAGAGCTTGGATACGGTTGTTTCCTATTTATTTCTTTATGCATGCCCAGCTTCCTTCCAGAAGTGATTTAAAGACAGCTTAAAAAATACCTATAGTGTTGGGGTGCTTGGGTGGCTCAGTCGTTAAGTGTCTGCTATCAGCTCAGGTCATGATCCCAGGGTCCTGGGATCGAGCCCTACATCGGGCTCCCTGCTCAGCTGGGAGCCTGCTTCTCCCTCTCCCACTCCCCCTGCCTGTGTTCCCTCTCTCGCTGTGTCTCTCTCTTCCAAATAAATAAATAAAATCTTAAAAAAAATACCTACAGAGTTAAAATAACAATACAAGATTTAGGTTTTTAGGAAAAAGAAAATACGAGTTTCAGGAGTTTTATTAAACCAGAGGAGTGCTTCAGACATGTCAACTTCTAGAATCCTTTCTTTACATGTGTCCAGGAAAGCCCATCAGAACAATTTTGTTGGGGATTCCAGTATTTCAGGTTTTACCAAAGAAAAGGAAATATCAGGCAACCTCCATACCAGTTCACATTTCTTTTACAGATAAGGGGTTAAGGTTTTTAGGACGGGCTCTCTAAATAGGCTCTTTTAATTCCTACTGGTGTTTTGGTTTCAGGCCTGGAGCTGTGTTTGGGTGATTAGTGACATCTAATTACGGGAGGGCAGGCAAGAGCTTTATAGACTCGAGTCGGATACAGAAGAACTACCTTCGAGCACTGACTAATGATTTTCATTAGGAAATGGATTTTTCAGAACAATAATACAGAGGCTGATAATATTTTACCTTTGGAAATATGGCCATTCTGGAATAGTATGCAGTTTCTGAAGTGCATAGAATAAGAAAGAAGAACTAAATGTAAAAAAGGTGTATTGTTTTATTAACTCTAATAAAAGTGACTTCCAAGTAGTTTATTTTAATATCATCTAACAGTTTTGCGTGGCCTTGCATTCAGCTCTGACCCCATTTGGCGCAACTTAATTTCAGCTGTTAAACAATTAGAGTCCCCCCTTAGGTCCAAATTGGTGCTGTCATCTTATTTATCAGGAGCAGGGGCGCTGACTGCTGCTTGAGCCTCTAGTCTAGCTTGTCTACAGAGGCCCAGCCCTCCCAGGGCACTGGTCTTGCCTTTGTGCCTTTGTTCCCACCTCCCTCTGTTCCGTATCCCCTATTGGAGTGTTTCTGAGCTGTCTTTTATGATGGAAGCACTTAGAGTCTTTGTGTCTGATTCCAGCTGATCTTAATTTGCAACTGGGCCGTGTTTTCTTTGAGTGCCACCTTGCACTGGGCCAACCCTGGTCCTCCCTGCTGGAGCTGGCCTCTGCCACTTCCCAGGCTCTTAGCTGTTGGGCATGCTATGAACTTCTGTAGAATGGGCATAATCACACCTCTCAAACTGTGAGGAGGAAACCTGAGGCAAAGTATGGGGACAACATTCAAAACTTCACATCTGCA